GGAAACGTTTCACTCAACTCTGTCGATGATGACGGTTTTGAAATGCAGAACATGAAAGAAGTATCTCAGCCTCCCGCTCCATTCAAAATGAAACAACATGGGTCATCGTCAGCGATTCTGAGGAAGATTGACTTATAACTGTGGTTTTGAATTTTGGTATCTTGCTATTGTATCTTGACATAAATACAGTTTATTCGTTTTATTCTTGAAACCCACTTCGGACATCATCTCCAACATGGCGTAAAACGGTTTGTCTCTCGTGGCCACATGCATGATAGCGTGCCTACGTTTTTCAAAGTTAGCGTTAAGTAGTTTTTGAAGGTTAATTTGGTCCTTTCTGATTATTTGGGAATTAGTAAAAAACCGATCTCATTGCTTCTTAAGAATGCTAGTAACAATTCAAAGGCTGAGTCTTCATGTTACAGCCCCAAGTCGCCGGCTTTTCAAAATACACTTCTGTAACGCTATGATCTCCATACAAGTCTAGCGAATACTTCTCGCTGACAGAGCTCTTTTTTGGACTATCTTCAATCATAAGATGGCGTAGCAGAAACGCGATCTTTCAAGCTGTTATTGAACATCCCAATGCTGTCTTATACATATTCGTTCAAACTTCGACCACATTTATCTTATATTTTTCATGCTAACTACTTCTAGTTCTTACTCTTTGTCGCAAATGAGTAATAATTAATGAATCAATCACTTCATCAGTTTGTTCTTTTGAAATAAAAAATTACGATAAAAAATTCTTACTTGAAACTATTTCATTTCATAAAATACCCCAATGTCATGATAGTGACTGAAAATGAGTAATGAATCAACTCTTTGTCAAAAGTGATGCTGCACACTGCATGTGAGATGCCATTTCTTCAATAACTCTCGATAATTTCTCTATTACCGGTAAACCCTTGGAGTAAGAACCTAATTGAACTATAAAGAGACTTCGCTCTACCGTTTTATGGATCCTAACTTTTAATTATTCGCGTTTATTCTGTCCTTTACCACATTTTATTGTAGTAATTTGACACCGGACATTCGCAAGTTTTTGCCCGCTACGTGTTCCTTTTAGTTGATTGCCCAAAGAAAATTATCATGCTCCTGATCAGATTTCCATCTCTCCTAACAACTCCAGTGTGATCACATTCAAATGGTTGTAGACGTCCAGCAGTGAATAGAGAGCAACTGCTTCCAATGAGTATCGCTTTTACCAACGGGAAGAATTCCTCCACCGTATGATTTGTTCCGGTTTTCGCCTAGCGCGTTTGAACAAAAGTTTGAATCTCCTACTCTTTCTTAAGATCTTCATGTAATTAATCATTTTTCACACATAAGCCTTGTTGATTTCTACAAACTATTCATAGTTCACGGATGCGAGAAGTAGTCGGACGATTTCGCGTTGCGGAATATATCTGAGCGAAAAGCGAGTTGCGTTTCAGAGACTACTTCCGATAGAAGGTTTTAAGTATCCTTAAATATCAGGAAAGTGTAAGCTGGATTGTACACTGTCTTCGGAGGAGTAATCCTCACTGCTCACTATTCAACCACTTGATATTCACTGTCTTCGAAGGTCCACTTTCGAAATTGGTCGTCTAAGCAGATTTCGATCCATTTTGATATTTGCGCGCTCCGAGGAATTCAAAGTCTCCAAACTACAGCTAGTTACTGAACGGTGTTCTATTCAATCACCTCGACGAACGCTGATGAAGAGGTAATTGGTGAGTAATTAAAGAAAGTGTCGTCATCCAATATCTAGTCCTACTCTTTGATAGCGGCAGGAGATGTTCAAAGGGACGTAACGCTCAGAGGCACGAAAACAATCAACTTCTACAAACTGCACACACCAGTTTTCATGGTTATTGTGGGGCAGACAAGATCCGTGACGATAAGAGGGACGATGAGTGGGAAAATACTGTCTCACTTCTGCAAGATGTACGACAGAAATGAGTAGAAAGAGTTGGAAGTGAATTCATTTTTGCAGCTCTAGTAGGAGAAGTGACCAAGTGAGGTGAGCGGCTTTGAAGATAAGCTTTTCCTTGCTAAAGTGCCGCTCTGCTGTGACAATGAAGTGTTGCGACAATCCAAATTTCACTATATAACTGCCATAGAAACTTCGATACAGTTCAATCTATGAGCTAAGTATCCCGAGCGCGACAGTGATTTTTCTTCCTTGTTGGTATTACGCAGTGAAAAAAACCTCCTCATAGATCAAGCTTAGCACTAGAATCTTTATTTTATAGCTACCAAATGACTACTAATAATCTAGTGAAAAGCGGGGGGTACAGAGTAAATGTAGAAAACTTATCTTGATTAGCTGACGCGAGGTTGATAAACAGTTGTAGAAATTCGGCTGACGTTTCGGCGACCCGCCTTCTTCAGAGCCTGGACGTATATAGTATTAGTCTATTTGAATGATCGGATGGTCTTATTTATATGCTGCCTAGGTCACGTTAGAAGATCAAACGAAGAAAGGGCGCGAGATCTCGCGTGATGGTGACGCACTCGTCCTTCCGATTCATTTCGGGGTTTTGGGCGTTTATCCAAAATGCCTCAAGAGTCTTGCGCGTGGACGTTTTGATTCCTGCGCCAGGATTGTGACAGTCACATCAAAATCCTTGTTGTTGTGTTTTGTGCCCTATGTAAACCTAAAGGTTTGGTTTTATCTATTTTAGATTTACTGTCTAGATGTTCTTTTATGCGGACGAAAAGTGGTCTTCCCGTTTCGCCTATATATTCTATATTACATGCGGGGAAGAATATATAGGCGAAACGGGAAGACCACTTTTCGTCCGCATAAAAGAACATCTAGACAGTAAATCTAAAGTAGATAAAACCAAATCTTTAGGTTTACATAGGGCACAAAAACACAACAACAAGGATTTTGATGTGACTGTCACAATCCTGGCGCAGGAATCAAAAACGTCCACGCGCAAGACTCTTGAGGCATTTTGGATAAACGCCCTAAAACCCCGAAATGAATCGGAAGGACGATGTGCGTCACCATCACGCGAGATCTCGCGCCCTTCTTCGTTTGATCTTCTAACGTGACCTAGGCAGCATATAAATAAGACCATCCGATCATTCAAATAGACTAATACTTATATACGTCCAGGCTCTGAAGAAGGCGGGTCGCCGAAACGTCAGCCGAATTTCTACAACTGTTTATCAACTCGCGTCAGCTAATCAAGATAAGTTTTCTCCATTTTCATATATCAATTGATTATGCCGAGGTTATAGAAAGTCGAACTTTTGAAGAGTGAATGTACTTTTCAAGGAAATGCTCCCAAATTTCATCAACGCGAACTCTGTCGCTGCTTATTCAAGCTGCATAATAAAACTCTCTCCAGGTATGTTCGTTCTACGTGTTTCACACTGTTAATGTAGTCGAATTAATTTCACATAAAATAAACCATAGAGATGCAGAATAAGGGCTAGAAGTATGATTTTCCCAAGGATGTCCTTGTCGAATCGCAAAGTGGGGATTTCTGGAACATGTGGAGATCCTCCATGCTGAAAATACGTTTTTCCAATAAAAAGCTATCCCTTTCAAAAACAAATCTGTTCAAATAACAGAGTTTAATTGTATTAAGACCAACAACGCTGGTGTAAAGTTCGAACAACGGGCCATCTAGTCCAAAAGCAGAACGTAGTCCTCTTTTCACTTGATACAAAGCAATAAAGAAGGTTTTTGTATAAACCAGGCACAATATAAAATCTCTTTTCTCAAGCTGTTGATTGATTACTAACAGTCCGGTGATGATACTCTTCTGGTTAAAAAAGGCAAGGAAACGCTAGCAGTTTTCATGGATTGTAGTTGCAGCTCGTACAAATCGTAATAAAAATTTCAGACAGCTAGGCGTTCCATCTATTAGAAATAAGTTTATAGAAATTTTTTCAGTAATGTTCAACACTTCACAGCGGCAAGGTTTCCCAAAACCAGAATATTACTACAAAAAGCAAAAAAGTCTCATGTGAAGTTGGAAAGGTTATCTGCATGCAAAACGTTACCTCTTTTTGTTAGTAGGACGTATTAAAAAAGTCACCTTACAAAGCAAACATAGTGGAAGAATAGACATTTCTCAAGCTATCGAGTAACTACAGAATCACGATGAAAAAGAAATAAACGTACTTATATAACGGCTGGAAATATGTCCCCTCCACAACAAAGTGTCGTTGAAACATAGACAATTTCTTGATACATGGGCATTCTCTCAACTATAAAACTTTTTAGAATTCATCATTTCTTCGCGATAATATCACCTCAGTATCTCAAATTACCAACCAAATACCCATATTACCATTGCAACGCGTGATAGTAAAGACTCCGCGTACACCGAGCAGCGTCGTCGCATAAGCAGCGTGCTGTGTGTGCTAATAACAGCTCACATCGTTGTCAACGTGTTAAATGGTTTCTGATTGATATATAATCCTCCTGCCATCGTTTTCTCCATTGTTCCGACTTCTCATTAATTTGTGGAATTTCCTGATCACCCAGGAACATCTGTAACATGTTCACTGCATTCACCATCTACGGTAGACAAAATACTATTCAGTTTTTCCAACTACGTCAAGCTCTTTTCTCACAACATGTAAGTTGAGATCTTCTATAGTAGATGGTGAAGCGATGGAGACTGCGCAGAGTGAGATGCCAACCACACGATTTCCCCTGTAGCTCAGTTTGGAGTAGATATTGAGTGCAATATTGCTTTGCCAACGAAGTAGTAGTATGTACAGTTCTGCATCCAGCATTACAATATGTTAAGCAGCAGTGATTATTCATTGGGTATTCAGTAGTAAAGATCATCAAATACGAAATCCTTTCTATTTGACCGCTAATGCGGTGTTATAATTTATTAGAAATCCAATGACGATGTAGAGTGGCGTGCAAAAACGTTTGCGTCAGCCGGGATTCGAACCCAGATCCTACTCTTTCCGGGAGCATGTGCTAAACCGTTGCACATGAAGCGCAGAACGCGTTGTATCGTAGAATCACTGCTGCTAGAGTGTCGATGGTGCAACGCTTTAGCACATGCTCCCGGAAAGAGTACAGTCCGGGTTCGAATCCCAGCTGGCGCAAACGTTTTTGCACACCACTCTACATCATCATTGAGTTTTATAGTATCAAACACCGCAATAGCGTTCAAATAAAAATGATTTCAGATTGATTATTGAAACCCAATATCTGTCAATAAAAGGAGGTTCAATGTCCATAATGACTGCCCTGCAACACCGTAGACGGTTGGCTGTTGACACATAGCGTAGAAAGAGTGCAGTGCAAAACGAGCGTCGGTGGTGCAACGGTTTAGCACATGCTTCCGAAAAGAGTAGGATCCGAGTTCGAATCCCGGCTGACTCAAATGTTTTTCCACACCACTCTACATCATCATTGGTTTCATAGTATCATCAAATACGTTAAGATATCTGTACATACTTGCAATCACTTCCACTGTTCGAGCGTTTATTCTCGGCATTAATGCTTCTCAAATTGGCCCTGGATAGGTTATTATCGATACAGAGGATGTAGTCAGTTTCTTCTTGCAACGTTCAGATTGTAAAGTATTAGATGTAAGAAGAGTCCACCAATTCATATTGAGTTAAGCAAAAAAGCTCCAGCCACACCATAGACAAACTGTGCAGGAAACGATACATGATAGTAGGCGTTCTGCTAGCGTTATTTCACACTCCAGCCACAGTCGTCTGGATATTTACTGCGGAGACGAAGGCAAAGTACGCTTCATTTCTTGATTTTAAATAACTGCGCCAATTTTCAATGCAGCTTCTCCCCCCAGAATTTTTTACGGGCCATTTATCTCCTTATAAAAGCCAAAATACTACAATGATATGTTCTTTCAGAAGTAATGGAATAATGCAGCCTTTGTTTGATTTGGCCGCTGCATAAGACAAACATCTTAATTGACAGTATGCGCAGCTAAATTCCGGCAATGACTACATTGTCTTTGCTGTAACTGAATGATTGATGCTTTGGTATAGAAATTACTACGAATGGTTGTGCGTGTGCATCATCAGATGTACCGATTGGTCTAAAAGTTCGAAATGAAATGAGTGGGAAACCCATTGACAACTGCTTGAGATTTCTGCCACAAAACTAGCCCAAAGTATAATCCTGGTATCTGAAACGGATCCCTTGACTTTCCTCGGATTCTGCGGCATGTCAACTCAAGTTCGCAGCATTGATTACTAAAATAAAAGAACGAAAACTATATAAGAGGGGCTGATCCTCTCGATTTTCAAAGAAGCTATATGTATAGTAAGTGCCGTATTGTGTGAAAAAAAACTCCAGTAGATAGAAAACCTCAATTGGTTATTTGTAACAAACTATCAGACAGCAAGGATAAGCTCAGTATAGCTATTCCACAAACTTAGTGATTTACGGAAAGCATCTATTGGGACGTGTTCGCTTTTCGCCCTAGCAGATACCCTTAAATGAAACACTTAGATACATCACTTGAATATCATGTTAAAGAAGATGCTTTTATAGATATGAAAATAGTGGAAATCAATGGTTAGAAAAATGATAGAAAGAATACATACATGGGCGACTGTCATGAATAAGAATGGATTTGAAATTTCAGGAAGGTTGTCTGCTACGTCGCCGCTTCAATGTCCGGCTTGTCGATAAGGTGTTCAGGTATTCATAATGGCCGTCAACATCAGAATAATTGCTTGCTATGCTTCATTCATATGTTTTCTAAAGAAACTCAAGATAAGTGAATTATCGTGGAATGCGAAAATATTGATTCCGCTATCCTTTTTCACATAGAGAGTAGAAGACTCTATCACTACATTCAAAGCGAACGTATTTACAGGTAACAGAAATTCGAAGCAAATTTATCGATCGCTAATAATAATCAGTTTAACAGTGGCATTTTATTCGTTTAGTTCGACATTCATTACATCAATGACTATCGTTTTGCATACGCATATTGAGCGAATATACGTCGGCTTTCTAGCTGGAATTATGTACGACAAACTCCTTCGTATACTATGCAATCAGATGCTCTCAGTGTACTCTTCTGTACGATCAACGGTACGAAAAGTTTCACAAGGTCGAAATCGCAGCCTTAACGTAGTGATCGCAGTGGTGACTCGTATTCAGACGTTAGCCAGCTGGACGACAACATGCACTCGTGGTTCAGTGGTAGGATGCTCGACTGCCGCGCATGCGATCCCGGTTCGATTCTCGGCCAATGCGGCCAATGCGCCGTGTGGTGGTGACCCGTATTCGAATGTGGGTCGTCCGATGCACCAAATGACGGTGAAGTACATTGGACGACCTACGTTCGATTACGGATCGCCACCACATGATGCATTGATCGCATTGGCCGGGAGTCGAACCTGGATCGCATGGGCGGCAGTTGGCGTCCTAGCAGTAAGCTACGAGTACATGTTGCACTTGCGATCAACATTTGAACACGGGTCACCAGTGCACTCGAATTGCTTGTTTGCTTTTGTTCGCGCCATTTTAACCCCTAAAGGACGACGTATACCAGCTCGGGTACACGATTGTTTGAAGGCCTTTATCGCTGCAGAAAATTTTCTCTTAGACATTTGGTGATCATTCGAATGCTGAAAATTCTGCAATTTCAAAAACCTTTCTAGCTTCAAAAAAGCTTTTTATTACGTTGTAACAGACGAAAATAAATTATTTTCACACTCAATTTTCTTCATTTGTCCGGCTGGGGACAGTGTATGGCTCTTCACTAACGTTTCAATACTATTAGTCGGTACAAACTTGAGGATTCTGGTGATAACGTTGGTTTTTTGAAGGGCTGCCATATGACGCCGTAAGAGGAAAAAGAAGATCACATTTCACTTCTCAAATGCTACCCCGCCGCTCGGACGTCATAGGTGGTTTATTGGTAATTATAGGTGAAGTTTATAACTCAGAGGTGTCTTATCGTTACATAAAGGATGGAATATCAAGAATGAACCTTCTTACGAAAATTTTTCAAATACAAAGAGTGACTACTCCGCTTGAAATCCTCATTTTCCAGCGGTACGACCATATCGTTGTACAAAAACAAACTTTCAACCGCTATTGTGCATTGGTATCGCCTGCCTTGCAAGAACGTAGCTTGAAAGCACGTCTTTTGCAAACTAAACATTTCTAATAGAGGTCCATGTGGAGGTATTTCTAATATGTAGCTTGAGTGAGTGTCGGAAGAGCGCGCGTTCATCATTGATGCGTTCTCCCCCTCACACCATATCCAAAAAAAGTAGTATTTTTCGCTCTTTCTAGACATTTAAGTAGCTATTCGATAGCTCAAATCTTGAAAAATTGGAAGATATGATTTATTTTTGAAAGGTCTCTGTATTACACTGTAACAGGGCAAAGAATATGTTATTTAACACTTGAGCATCTTTCGATGAGCAACGCTTTCCTCAAAAAATTCAGCAGTTCTTCGACAACACAAATCTCGGCAAATTTGACTTGAAAATTCAAAGGATATGCTTAGTTCTGAGGAAGACTATTTAGTTCGTCATTACGGCTAAAAGAACATTGAGCTTACACTAGGCGCGCACCGCATGACACATGTAAATTGCGCTGCGCGATCGACACCGCACTGAGTGCGAAACTCAATGATCTATTAGCTGTAACAAGGCACTAAAACGTCCCTCTCAAAACTCCAGCCTACTACTGAGATCGCTGAGATTTGCACTATCGAATGGTTAATGAAAGTCTGAGGGAAAACCTCTATCTAGCGAAAGATGCTTGAATGTAAAAGAAATTTTTTTTTATATGTTAGGCGGCGACAAACATATGAGCCAGTCTCATTCGCTAGAAAGGAATTTCTCATAGAAGTGCCTGCGTTTAGAAAAAAATTTATTTCTCACTCGCATTTCACCCTTATTTTTACAATGAGTATGAATTGCTAGAAGCACAAAAAGCTTGTCGCTTATACAGAGTTTTTCTTTCTGCGAAAATCACGCTTCTTTATTTGAAGTTTCTGTCGATGAGGTAAAAAACATCCTCAATAAAATAACAATCGTTGCCGCCGTTTTAACTCATATGCGATAGATCACCATTGAGTTACGCGGCAGATCAGGCGATTATCTTACTAACATGTCGTTGCTGTGACTTGTCTTCACATTTCACTCAGCTATGAACCTTTTTGGCGACTTTGCTTACCGGCCAACTCACGGAGCGGAGGAATGGGGCCAGGGCAGAACGACCGATCGCGTCTGAATTTTTGCTATTCATTGGGATTTTTCACCACATCGACAGCATCTTTAGATAGAAACGTAGATTCTGATGCTACGGGAAGTTTTCTATACGCTAATATGTTCTTCGTGCTTACAGCGATTCATACACGTGGTAAAAGTGAAGGCGAAAAGCGAATGAGAAACGAAATTCTATTCTGTAAGGTACAACGATATAAAAGGCTGATCCGAGAAACTGGTAAAGCATTGTTGTGGCTAGAGATTCTGAGCTTTTTAATGAATGCTAAAACTTTTGAGAAAGGATCCTGATCAGCGAATGAGATCGATTTGAATATTTGTCGCTGTCTAACACATAAGTGCCGAAAATTTTACTTTACCTTTACAGCATGATATAGAAACCGTTCGAAGTAAAGTACACCCTTCAGATTATTGATATCCAAGCTGTTGGATACTTAGTAAAGCCTCGAAAAGGAAAAAAATACTTTATTTGAATGAGGGTGCGTATGGGATAGAAGCACCGAGAATACTGCTCCGGAGACACAAATTCTGACCAATAGTTTGCATAATGCCGATGTTGAAAGCCTATTATCCAAACATGTCCCTTGCCGCTCAGAATTTTTCCACTATCAATAAGTACTCGACCTTTTCTCGCTTACTTTGACTCTGAATAACTGAAAATAAACGAATGATTGATATAAAGTTAGTTATAGTAAGATTTATCGATGAACTAGTACCGAATACAGCATGCATTAACATTGTCGTTGTAATTTAATCATTGTTTTCAAATTTTATTCACTGTGATGGTTCTTAGGTTTTGTATAAAACTATGTAAAATCAAAACCACGGTTTTTATCTACTGTGATATCCTCCATACAATTCAATGCAGTTGATTGATAGTCAAATTTAGCATATTTCCGTATTAAACCAACGTTTCTCTCTATAATGGACGCATATATCTAAACGAAAATCATATGAGCGAAAAGACAAAATCTTTTCCTATCAAAGTAGTACGAGAATTCCAAAGTGTTTGTAAGTCGGCGTGAAAATCTTAATGAAATAGCGAAAATTGTCTATTTTGCTCTGCGCGCACCGAATTGTATAGCCGTCCCTTAGGAGTAACACACACCAAAAAACTCAAATTTTATATTCTTCAACACAACGGCAGCAGCTAACGATATTGATAAATGTGAGTATAAGTTATGGGTAAAATGCGATCAATAACAGAGTATCAGAGGGAGGCAGGTCTATGAAATCATGTACGTAAGATCGGGTAAAAATCTCCTGAGACCTGACAGCTGCTGGTATTATGTGATGTGCCGGTTTGGGATAAGATACGATAGCATTAAAAAAACTTAACTGAGCATTGTGGAGTTACTTGTGAGACAAGGCCAAGTGGCGACTGAGACAACTTTGGAGAGTGACTTAATGGGAGGCTGGATAAGTTCGACATCCAGATGGATAGGATTATGTTAATGAGGATAAAGCTAACACAGTGCTTAGGAAGTGGACTGATGTGGCAGTACAGAATTATGTAGATTATTTACTAAAAAGCTTAGCTTGCTTTTGGCCTAGGCTTCTTAATATAAAGATGAGCAGATAAGAGAATATAGGTAATTGAGAGTCTGATAACGCGGTTGGGAGGCTGGAGAAGTACTCAAGCGATCAAGAGCGTGACATTAATAAGGTTGACAGAGACTTGGGAAGCTTAGAAGTGTTGTTGGAGTGATTTATAGAATATGCTATTATCAAATGAACGAGAGAGCCCTATTGAGATGAGGGAATGACTAAGATTATCTAGGAAGGTAAGGAAAGGTTTGAATGGCGGCTGCCGCCTCAAAGCCATTTGAGGCGACTAAAGTGTCATCGGAGGCGTGCACTTGCCAGTCGCTCGCGAGTTTCTGAATTCGTCCTTTTGTCTGATAACCGTCCGAACAGCACAAAAACTGTCCATCCGCCGGCTTAGCTCACTAACCAACGCTATGACTCATTTCTTTACCCTTTTTATTATCTATAGTTAGAATATTAATTATTTGACGATATGCGATAGGATAAGCGTAGAAGAGGAAGGAAAGTAGCAGTTATTCCCCTGAATAACTGCTACACGGTGCATAAGACAAACATGTTTATTGACATTATGCGCAGCCGAATTCAGACATTGACTACCTCGTCCTTGCTGCAGCTGACTGATTTATGCTTTGGTATTTAAGTGAATATTTTGCGCGTGCATCATGTAATATGATGATTGGTCTGAAAGTCCGAAATCAGTGGTCTGGATACGCGTTGACAGCTGCTTGGGATCCCTGCCACAAGTTAGTCGAGCGTATAATACGGGTATCTCAAACGGATACCCTGACATTACTTGATTTATAGCGGGACATCAATTCAAGTTCACAGCAATGATAGCTAAAATAAAAGAACGAAAACTTCAAAACAGCAGCTGCTCGATGACTGAAGAAGCTATATGAGATGTGGGTGTCGTTTTATGTTCCAGGACTTCGAAAAATAAGAAATCTCACTTAGTTATTTGAAACAAACAATCAGCCAGCAAGCACAAGGCCAGTGAAACTATTCTATACAACCTAGTATTTTATAGAAAGCAAATATTTGGGACGCAATCGCTCTTAGCTCACTAGATACCTTGAACTGCAACAATTAGACATATCGCTTGGATATAAAGGCTGATAAGCTACCTTTATAGACACTAGGTAGGAAAGGAATTTTCCACCGTTTGACAAAACATGCAAAATTTATGCATATATTTAGACAACAAACAACAACAACAACTCTCTAGAATACAGGTCATCATTATCCACCAATTTTTGCCATCGGTCCGCACGGTTTCTGATCTGATCGAAGTAGCACTCCTTCGGCTTTGAATTAGAGAACTCTTGACAAGCTCCTTCAACTTCATCGAAAGGTTCAAATCGGCGACAACTCTAGTGCTCCCATGTGGAGATTCGACTTATTATAAGCTGAGTTGCAACTTATTCTACCTGCTGCGCTCCAGAGAAATGGTCTTTTAGGAGATAAACACAGCGCTGGAATCAGAAACCATTACGCTGTCGAGTTAATACAAATAATCTAAAAAGAGCTCTGTCCGACGAGAAAAATGCGCTAGCTTTGTGTGGAGATTACAACGTTATAAAGAGGTATTTTGAAAAATTGGCGACATGGGCTGTAGCCAGTAATCTCAGATTTCGAGTCGTTACCAACACTCCTATGAAAATCTCCTCACCAGCGAATGAGGTCGGTTTTTCATTTGTTTCCCTCTAATCAGATGAAACCTTAGTTTTTTCAAAAACACGTCACGGAGAAAAATATATCATCGCCACCCGAAAATACCGTCTACGAAAAGCTTCGGTGCGCTACTGGTTAACTGGTCGTTGTTCGTCCAAATGACCCCTTTCCAGCCATACTGAATTCATTTTCACAAGAACAAAGAAGTATTTCTAGTGATACATCAGTGTCTGAGCAGATGTGTGGCAGTGAATGCGTGAGATCAGATTGCAGTTTGCTAGAAAATGACTGAAAAAATGAAAAATAAAACTGCTCTGCCCAATGGGCTTACAATACTTTCCCACTCATCTACGAAAGCGACAAAAATCCTTCATCGAACCACGTTTTTACCAGAGTTATAATGTCATAACGATATATCCACTATATAATCTGTTAACATATCTTAAGCCTTTTATAGGCACTTAAAGTACTAGACACATGTTTCGGCCTTACAACCTCACCAGTAGCACGGTGGCTTTCGTTTCAGTCAATCCTTGCAGGGGGCACACACCTACGTACAAAAGAATAGACTCGAAATATTTGCAAAATCACCACATGTCTGGTGAAAAAATTCCGCGACAGCGCGGTACAAACAGTCGACCGTTCATGGTTGACAATTCTGCTAAATTGGCGTTGATTCCTTTGAACTTGGGGAGGGGTGTCACCTTGCAAGGAATTAGCTGAACTATAAAGGCACCGTGCTACTGAGAAGGCTGTAAAGCCGAAACACGTGTCTAGCACTGTGTAAGTGCAATAACAAATCTCATGAAGAGCTCAAGATATGTTATCAAATCATATCCTGCTATGAACAAGGTCTATAGAAACAGTCGAATGTAAAGGCACGACATATACGCTAATGTTGAGTACTCTGAAAAAACCTCACGAAGGACGAGACGAGAGTCTAACTTTTGCTTGAAGTCCAAAGTTTTGTATATCCTTATTGTGGAATGTGGAGATATTTATTCTGTCATTCTTTTTCACAATGATAGTGAAAAACTCTATCATTACATTCAAAGCGACTTATTTACAGCTAACAGAAATTCGAAGCAAATTTATCGATAGCTAATAATAATTAGTTTAACAGTGGCATTTGATTCGTTTAGTGACATTTATTACATCAATGACTATCGTTTGGCATACGCATATTGAGCGAATATACGTCGGCTTTCTGGCTGGAATTTCTAAAACTTAACATGTGCGATAAACTCCGTCGTATACCATGCAATCACATGCTCTTCTATGCTTTCAAGTGTACTCTTCTATACGATCAACGGTACGAAAAGTTTTACAAAGTCGAAATCGCAGCCTTAACGTAATGATCGCAGTGGTGACTCTTATTCGAACGTTAGCCAACTGAAGCAACGTGCACTCGTGGTTCAGTGGTAGGATGCCCGCCTGCCGCGCAGGCGATCTGGGTTACGATTCCTGGCTGATGCGGCCAGTGCACCATGTAGTGGTGACCCGTATTCGAATACAGGTGGTCCGATGCACCAAATGACGGTGAAGTACATTGGACGACCTACGTTCGATTACGGGTCACCACTGCATGGTGCGTTGCCTGCATTGGACGGGAAACGGACCTGGATCGCCCGTGCGGCAGGCGGCATCCTACCAGTGAGCTACGAGTACATGTTGCACTAGTCGATCAACATTTGGACACGGATCACCAGTACACTCAAATTGCTTGTTTGCTTTTGCTCCCGCCATTCTAACCCTCAGGAACGGCGTGTACCAGCTCAGGTACACGATTGTATGAAGGCCTTTATCGCTGCAGAAGAAATTTTCTCTTAGACATTTGGTGATAATTCGGAAGCTTAAAACTCTGGGATTACAAAAACCTGTTTATCTTCAGAAAAAACTTTTTAACACTTTGTTACAGCGAAAATGAAATTATTCCCACACCCAATTTTTTTCATTTTCCCGGCTGGGGACACTATATGGCTTCACTAAAGTTTTAATACTTATTAGATAGCCCAAATCTCGATGATTCTGGTGATGACGTTGGTTTTTTTGAAATCTTGCCCGTAAGAGTGAAAAGAAGATCACATTTCACCCCGCCGCTCGGACGTCATAGATGGTTTACTGGTAATTATAGGTGAAGTTTATAACTCAGAGGTGTCTTATCGTTACATAAAGAATGGAATATCACGACTGAATTTTCTACGAAGATTTTTTGATACAAAGAGTGACTACTCCTCTTGAAATCTTTCATTTTTCAGCGGTAGTACCATATACTTGTACAATAACAACCTTTCAACCGCTGTTGTGCATATGCGTCGCTTGCCTTGCAAGAAACGTGGCATGAAAGCACATTTTTTACAACTAAACATTTCTAATAGAGGTCTGTGTGGAGATTTATCTAATATGTAGCTCGAGTGAGTGTATGAGCGCGCGTTTATTATTGCGCATGATGGGTTACTTCCCCTATCAGCATCCATATCCTAAAGCTGCAATCATCCCATCGAAACGTCCGCAGTGCAATTATCTTGATTTTATGAATGGCGAAGCTTCGGTGGGCTGTGCAAATGGTCTTTTTTTTCAGCTTTGGTCATAGCTGCTGCTATTCCCTCTTCAAAATCTTCTATCGCTGCTCTGCAGCGCTTCATAAGTTCGGATGTGAGCTTTCGCTTGCCTGTAGCTCGTACGATTCACATTAGCAATATCACCTCGAGTGCTTATGAAGTGAAGCGTCTCTTCGTCACTTTGGAAGTGTCGGTTTCATGGCGGTATGTTACTTCACAATTACCAGCTAAGAGCATGGAAATGATGGATTATGAACGATGGAAGACAGATAACTATCGATGATATATATAA